CGTCGGGATGCTTTTGGGTGACTGGTCGTAAGTTGGGTGGGTGGATCTTGTTCCGGTTCGTCTTCGGTCCCCGGCCCTCCGGTAGGCCTCCTCAGGGGAGGTTGGGCTGGGTGTGTGTGTGGTTGTTTCGTTTCTGTTGTGTTTGCTCCTGTAGTTGTGTGTTTTGGTTTGGTGTGTTTGTGCGTGGGTGTGGCTTTTATTCTTTCCCTGGCTCCTGCGTGTGCCTTTTTGTTTGCCCTGTGTTAGTTGTATGATTTGTGCGTTTTTGTTTGCCCCGTGTTAGTTGTGCGCTTTGTGCCTTTTTTGTGCCTTTTATGTTATTTATGGTATGTGTGTGTGTTTGCTCCTCTGATTCTGGAGCATGCCTCATATGTATTTTGTGTTACTCTGTGTGGGGTTTGGGGTTATGCTTTATTCTCCTCCCCTTTTGATTATCGGGGTGTTTTGTATTACTGTCCCTGTGTTATAGGTGTGTTTTTTTTTTTGTCATTACTTAATGTTCTTTGTCTCTTTCATGTGCTATGTGTTTGCTTTATGCTGATTGTGTATTGTTTATGTATTATTGTTCTATTCTTTCTTTGTTTTGTGTTTGTCTTCTGATTTTGTATTCTGATTTGTATTCTGATTTTTTATATAAATAAACAAAAATTTACTTGGGTGGTAATTATATACACACCCCACTCGCAATCCAACCAAGACATTCATTCACCTTAAAAGTATAATTAATTCCTTAAAGGAAAACAATTCCACTGTTGTGTTCACTCTCATAGAACCTCGCCAGCCAACGAGAAAGAATATTTGGGGCATGAATTCAGAGTTTTAACAACGCACAGCCATTTACATAAACTGCCGTCTCAGGAGAAGGGTGGATTGAAATCCACCTATATACCTTTAACAGCTCGACCATTCCGTGAAAATGTTTCCTCAGAAGGGGTTCACCTTTCCAGTGAATCAAGAGTACATGTGGCCAACACATTAATACTATAAAATACCATAGACCATTGTTGCGAGAAGGCCAAACATAATTTGTGTATATAGTTTACCATATAACCTGTGTATATTTTTTATATAAACAAAATCATAAAAATTAGCACTATTCCATTCTGCGCATTCTTGTATATTATAATTTTCAGCTGACCCTCAGGTATGGGTAACACAACTTAGGCTACAGCTGAACTAAGTATGGATCAACCTACCCAACTGTAATTTTCTTTCCTTTTCTGCTTACCCAGTAGAGCAGGATTATTATATAGTTTGTACTGTACTAAGGAATGTGTCGAATTATGTTTCTTATGTTTACCATATATATACATATATGCATATATATATATATATATATATATATATATATATATATATATATATATATATATATATATATATATATATATGGGTAGAGTAAATAGTTCCGTGATTTGGGTGTTCATGGTAGGGTCGCTCTATTCTTATGTGAATTGCCTCAAGAATTTGTAATCTTCTTGAATCTTGGGTTTTGTCTATTATGCAAGTATTCTTGTTCAACATTTCTCTTGTTAGAGTAATGTCATGGGCTTGTCTCATGTGATTCCTAGGGGCACCAGATTGAAGATGGCATGTCAAACGCCTCGTCAGCTTGGTCGACGTCATACCTATGTACTTACATTAAAGGTTACATCCTTCGTGGGGGCAAGTGTACATGTATACAACGCTTGACTGCTGTAGAGGGTTCTCCGTCGGCTTCGGGCTGTTTTTGATAAGGAGTTCGGAAGTCTTCTTGGTTTTGTAGAATATTATCAGGTTTATGTTTTGGTTGGGAGTAGTGCTTTTTACTCCTTTACGGATTATTTCTTTCATTATTCTTTCCTCTTTTATATGTTCACTGTGTATGGTTGATTTGTAATATAATTTTATTGGGGGTGTTGTGGTTTCTGTTCTAGGTTCTGATTTATACCAACGGTCCAAGTGTCTTCTTATAGCAGCGTTTATTTCCGCGTTGCTATATCCGTTGTTCACCAATACCTGAGTTACTCTTTCAAACTCTCTACTCACGTTGCTCCATTCAGAGCAGTGGGTAAGCGCTCGACGAATATAAACATTGAGAACACTGGCTTTGTATCTTTGGGGGCACTCACTTCTACCGTTCAGGCATAATCCTATGTTGGTGGGCTTGGTATATACGTTGGTGCTGAAAGAGGTTCCTGTTTTTGTTATTAGTACATCCAAGAATGGCAGACTGTTATTTTCACTATTTTCATGTGTAAATCGGAGTACTGACTCTCTCAAAGAGAGAGTCAGTACTCCGATTAGTCAGTACAAGCCCATGACATTACTCTAACAAGAGAAATGTTGAACAAGAATACTTGCATAATAGACAAAACCCAAGATTCAAGAAGATTACAAATTCTTGAGGCAATTCACATAAGAATAGAGCGACCTACCATGAACACCCAAATCACGGAACTATTTACTCTACCCACCATGAGAGTAAGGACAAGACAAGAACATATCGATGCCAACACAGAAGACAATGTCCAACATAACAGGCCAATTACACTGGATTAATCTTTGTGTTTAGATAGGAGATGCCTCGTATGGGCCAATAAGCCTTCTGCAGCCCCTATGTTTATCCCTTATGTATCCCCCCATGTTTTCACCTTCATATATATATATATATATATATATATATATATATATATATATATATATATGTCGTACCTAGTAGCCAGAACGCACTTCTCAGCCTACTATGCAAGGCCCGATTTGCCTAATAAGCCAAGTTTTTCCTGAATTATTATATTTTCTCTAATTTTTTTCTTATGCAATGATAAAGCAACCCATTTCATTATGTATGAGGTCAATTTTTTTATTGGAGTTAAAATTAACGTAGATATATGACCGAACCTAACCAACCCTACCTAACCTAACCTAATCTATCTTTATAGGTTAGGTTAGGTTAGGTGAGGTAGGTTAGGTAGTCAAAAAATCTTTAATTCATGAAAACTTGGCTTATTAGGCAAATTGGGCCTTGCATAGTAGGCTGAGAAGTGCATTCTGGCTACTAGGTATGACATATATATATATATATATATATATATATATATATATATATATATATATATATATATATATATATATATATATAATCATTATTATTATTTCATTTTATTGTGTTTTATTGTGTTTCATCTTTTGAGTGCTACAAAATATCACTATCCCAACTAAAGGCGAAAATAAAGGACTAACCCGCGTTATAACTTGTAGTGGCACCAAGTATCATTCAAATCTCTTACATTTAATCTTTAATCTGTCTGCCAACCTCTATGTGAGGTACGATAATACTGCATAGTGTAGGAAAATTTAAATACTAGGCTATCAAGACAATACTGGTTCCAACCATATGAACAAGTACCCCAGCAATATCAACACAAGTCCTAGACGACTTGAACTCAAAGCCAACATAGCTACTCCAGAAAAAGTAAAGAGATCCCTGATAGACCTTAAAGGGTACTCGACAAGATTACTCAATAAATCTGAGAGCGTATCAAAGGAATCCCTCAGTTAATCATAATCAACTAGAAATAGCTCTCAGAGAAGCCGATAGTAAATTTGAACAAATCAAGACTATGATTTGGTCATATATCAGTGTACTGGATGCTAGTGACACTGATCCTTATGAAGTAGGCCAGATCATAGCAGAATTAGCTATGTATTAGGATGACAAACAAGAAAAGTTCAATCCTCTGCTTAACTTATTCAATGTATGGGAGAGGTTGAGTGAAAGAAGGCCGGTTTTATTGTAACACAATAAAGGTGTTTAGTTTAGTTATATTTTATTTTAGATACAACATGAGTCAACCAGACAGAATATTTGAGGTGCCAAACTGTCGGCCATTAGTAATTAAAGTCACACCTATAGAAGTGTGAATGACAGAAGTTGACCAGGGGTTAAGTCATGTGAATTGACCTTGCTTCTGCTAAACTGATAACTGCAGACGGATGGCTGGGTTGTGCCCATCAAACAAACCGCTGGTTAAGGTGTAGTAGGTAGAGAGCCTGAAGCTATCAGGCTCTCTACCAGGGTATAGTGCGGAGTCTCTACCAGGGTGGGCGGGGTTTAGCTCCCAGATTCCCCATAAATACCCATGGAACTGTACATTAGGGAGCATCGGCAGAGGAAAGCAGACACAGAGAGGCTGGAGGATTGAACAGCAGCCGAAACCAGGCTGTCGGCCGGTCGGAGGGACTCTGCCTGTCAACCCCCTCCTCCCCCTCTCTATCCTTCTTAGGCTCAGACACTTGGTGAATTGAACTGTAAGGTGACAAATTGGGTGTCTCTCCAACTAGAGGTGTTGTGTGATTTCAGGGGAAGTCAGCCGTGGTGTTCTCAAATTCTTGTGTAATGACTTCCATTGTATATTAATCTCGACATAGTGAACATAGTTAAATTACTTGAATTATGATATTTATCATGTTAAATATATAATTGATGAATTTATTTTTAAAATGACTTTGAGTTTATTGGCTTAAAGATTCTTTCATGTACAAGTACACGATTCCAGTTGATACATGAACTCCTTAAATAATTTTGTTGTACATACACGTTCCATGCCTTGTCTTGCATGTACTGAGTTAAAATGAATGGCGCCAGCTATTTTTCATCTTTAACCTATTCTACTTTCTACTTTCTACCTTTCCTACTACTCTACTAACTTCTACTTTCCTCATTGATCTCATTTTCTTCCTCCTTATAACTTTCCCTTTCCCCTGACCATCTACCTCCTCACAACTCCTTCACGCCTCTCTACCTCTATCACCCCTACCCCTCACACATTACTTCATTATTTATTTATTTATTTTCGTTTCTCATATTCGTTACATTATTAATATGAGTACTCATAAATTTATCTCTGTCTTTTGTTGTGCTTAAGTTCCTAGTGCCGACTTTTACCTCAACCTTCCGACTTGACGTTTGGTTGTGTATGTGTTACACGTATTTACACATTTAGTCAGGTTGTACTATTGTGTTGAGTTGTTGTTCGGTTTAATATTATACCGTTCTGGTTATAGATTTCCATGTGTATGCTTTGTTATCATTTCAGAAGAAACCAGTGACTCCAAAGAGATATGGGGTGAGTTGTTGTGATACCCTGATTTATTGATTATTGTGTTTATTGATTAATGTCACTGTTATTATTAATGCGATTTTGTCGTGTTGTGATTTGTGCTGTTATTGATTAAGCACTGTGAAGTGTAACCTAGTGTTACCGTGTTCTGTTCTGTCTGTGTGATAAGAATTTATGTCATCTTTAATTGCTAAATGAAGAGTCAGTGAAGTTAATTAGTTATTGTGATTACCTGTCCATTGGGACAGTATAATTAACGTAATCAAGTGAAGTGGCATATTCTTGGTTGGCAAGATGTCTTAAGTGACAGCGTTGAGTCAGCATCATTTGTTCTTCATTAACTAACTGTCCGTTTGACAGTAATTAATGTAATATCTCACTGATTGTTTAAATATCTTTGTGACGAAGTAAATACTGTGGGAGAATTATTGTATTGATTATTGGACTGAGCGACAGATTGTAATTAATGTAAATTACCTTTGGGTGTTGATTGTCTGGATGTAATTAATTAATATAATTAATTAATGTAATTAACTAAATTCTTGTTTTGAGTAAATTGATTGGGAATCAATTGTTCTGGTCTGTGTGATAGAACAATAAAGTTTTTACTGTTGTTTTGATTGCCTTCCTTACAGACGTGTGCTAACGTAGTTTGAGTGTTCAACCCGTTCTCGCACTTTCGTATAGTCAATACTGACTTATTAAATACGTGCATATGTGACATACTTAACATACTAGTTTACATTGAAAAGCTTCATAGAAAACACCGACCTTACCTAACCTTTTTTGTATGTTAAGATAGCATCTTATTGCTTCGTAATTGCAATTATTACTTAACCTATTATAGGTATAGGTTAAGTAATAATTGTAATTACGAAGCAATAAGATGCTTATCTTAACATACTAAGAAGGTTAGGTAAGGTCGGTGTTTTGTATGAAGCTTTTCAAGGTAAACTAGTATGTTTAGTATGTCACATATGCACGTATTTAATAAGTCAATATTAACTGTAAGAAAGTGCGAGAACGGGTTGGAGTGTTACAGGAGACTGTCTCAGTGACCAGTCTTGCTTTGTTTGCTTTGTTGTTAATTGTTTTGATTTGTATCTTGAGTCTAAGTGGGCACCTGTTTGCTCAGTCTACTTCATTATACCAGTCAAGTGCGTTACGAACAGGATTCCGTACTATACTGCTGTTTGAATAGCTGTCATCAGTGTTGACCTAGGAAAATTAACGTAACGTTAAATGATTGTGCTTTGTATTAGTATTAAGTTTCATATTAAATTGTTGTTGTTAACGAACGCAGTGTCTTTATATCAATACCGTTCAACAATATTTACCACCATACTTACGCTGCAACAAACTAGACTATTTCTTACATTTAATGAAGGCCTGCTTCTGGATTCGAACCTGAGTCATAACCACACACACCAAATATAAATTTATTGTGAGATCCCAATAGTTACCATTAACATTGTCCTAGCAATTGAGATGCTAAACAACTTAGTGGTAGGTATCCCAAGGGAGTAGACATCGACGGTTGTTCTCGTCATTTTATTACAGTTTTAAAGTAAAATGTTCACGTCTGACACTCAACGTGTTGGCTTGTGCAAGCCTATCTGTCTGAGCATCACTAGTGAATTAGTGCAAAAAATAAGAAATTCTCACACTATTACGAGGATCGAAAATTTTACAGCTAGAGTCATGGATGACCAAATATAGGGAACCGGTCGGCCGAGCGGACAGCACGCGGGACTTGTGATCCTGTGGTCCTGGGTTCAATCCCAGGCGCTGGCGAGAAATAATGGGCAGAGTTTCTTTCACCCTATGCCCCTGTTACCTAGCAGTAAATAGGTATCTGGGTGTTAGTCAGCTGTCACGGGCTGCTTCCTGGGGGTGGAGGCCTGGTCGAGGACCGGGCCGCGGGGACACTAAAAGCCCCGAAATCATCTCAAGATAAGATATATGGAAAGGATGATCTATTTCTCAAGAGTCCTCCCTAAGTTCAGAAAAGGACGGGTTCAGCACCCATTATGCTCCAATATCCTAATATTAAAGTTCCTATTGGAAATACTTACATATATAGCATTATGGCATATACATGAATAGACCCTCTCCATCTCTCTCTCTCTTTTTAAAACTAAGTCTAGGGTTCATAAAGACTGTCAAATGACGTACCTAGTGAATCTTCACGCAAGAGCTGTTATCCTACCTAAGCTCATCTGAAGTCTGCTTCTAGAAACTCATTTATTTCATGAGAATGTACTTTGAAACTATCACACAGGGAACTATCATATAAGGAACCTGGTGAAACTGCAAGAGCTGTAATTCTTCCTCAGCTAAGTTGAAAACTACTGATAGAAGCTCATTAATTTCATGAGCCTAATTATATGCATCAATAAGAGTAGCCTTTATTCATTAACATCATTAGGTAACAATCATATACGGGACAGGATGAGCCTGTAGCCAACTGTGTGCCAGAGCCTTCATGTGATCTGTTGACCTCCTGTGTATCAACCTGTTGAGCGAACAAATTCCAGATGTGATTCAGCCTAGGAATGAATGATCACTGTCGGAGTGATGTTCTCAAGAAAGGCACTTCCAGCATGAGAATTGAAGGTTGAGCGCCTAGTGCTACAGGTGGCAACTACTGGTAGTCCACGGAGTTGGGCCAGGTGAGAAATGTTTTGGAAGTTGGCCTTTTACATAATAGTAAGACCCCCAACGTCACGGTGGTGTTGCAGGCTCTGATGTTCAGACCGTTCCCACCTGACTTGGTCAAGACTAGAGATGAGTCTTCCTGCACAGCTCTCCACTTTGTCCAAAAGTCTGATGAATGGTGGGGGGCAGACGTCCCAGGAAAGATGTGCGATGATGTACTACTTGTAAGATGAGAGCGAACTTGTGCTTCATATTTTCATCTTGTTTTGCAGCTGTCAAGAAGGTGTTCAATGCACCGTAGCAAACAATGCAAACGTCAGTAAGTATCCTGGCTGACGTTTGGGCAAAGTTAATAAGCACGTTACTCTTCATTATCCCTGAAGAATCGAACTTCATTCCCAAAATGTGAATTTCAACTGTGAACTCTAGGGATCTGCCACCCTATTGAAAGCATGTCCGTTTTGCAATGTGCAATCTACTTATCATCATCGTTTGTGCTTTCTCAGCCACAAATGTGACCTGTCATTTCCTACCCCAAGTAGAAATCATTGAAAGTTGATGATTGATGAGTCTTGCAGCGGTTGGCATTTCCTCTTGATGACCAGACCAAAACTAGAAGGTGAAGGGACGATGCCGTTTCGGTCCGTCCTGGACAATTCTCAAGTCAATTGTCTCAAGTCAAGTCGACCATTCACAATCAACTTATGAATGGTTCAGGACGGACCGAAACGTCGTCGTCCCTTCACCTTCTGGTGTGTGGTCTGGTCAACATTCTTCAGCCACGTTATTGTGACTCATCGCCTGCATATGGCATTTCTTCTTTTCTGTATGTAAAGGTTAGAGTGCAGTCATTAGCATAGGCCTTCATCTCAGGAATGAGATGAAGTAGATTGTTGAAATTTACATTCCACAGCAGACGGCCAAGCATATTGGCCTATGGATCGCTGGCATCAATTCAGCTACTTTCGGATTCTGTTCCATTGAGGACTACTATTAGTCTATTGTTGAGGGCAGTCTTTTATTAACTCTTAGATGGAGCCTGAGATGCCTAATGCTTGAAGCTCCGCTACTAATCCAGAGTGCCAGACGCGATCAAATTCTCTTGCTATGTCTAGAGCAACAACACAGCTGACCTTGGACTCATCCAGTGACTGATGCCACTTAGTGGAGAGATTTAGCAATAGATCAGCAGCAGATCGGCCTTTTATAAAACCATACTGTCGATCACATATTAGCCGATGGTGATATAAAATGGTATAATTTGCTGATCGATTATCGATTCTTGGATTTTACCAGTAATGGAGAGCAGTGACAATGGTCTGTAGTTACTAACCACTGAGCGGCTCTTCAAATGTGTACTAGAACAACATCTGCCTTCTTCCATAAGAAAGGCCAAATTCCTGGAGCTAGGCCGAGGTGGAAGAGGCTTGTGAGAGGTGGAGCAAACAGGTCAGCACAGCTTGGTTGTAGTCTTGGAATGACCTTATCTGGCTCCACAGTTTTGCTTGTGTCTAGCATTTAAAGGAAATTGAGAATTTCAGCCTGGTGTATAACTACTTCAGTTATCCTAGACACAGTGCTTAGAGCATGATGTGGAGGCTGACATTCAGGATCAGGAACTTGCATCTTGGCAGCAAAGTGGTTTGCCAATAGATCAACCTTTCCCTGATTATTGGTTACAGCCGTTCCATCCTCCCTGTTTAGAGGCGGGATCTTGAGGTTATCTTGAGATGGTTTTGGGGCTTTTTTTTAGTGTCCCTACGGCCCGGTCCTCGACCAGGCCTCCACCCCCAGGAAGCAGCCCGTGACAGCTGACTAATACCAAGGTACCAATTTTACTGCTAGGTAACAAGGGCATTGGGTGAAAGAAACTCTGCCCATTGTTTCTCGCCGGCGCCTGGGATCGAACCCAGGACCACAGGATCACAAGCCCAGCGTGCTGTCTGCTCGGCCGACCGGTTCCCTATTGTGTCCTCCCTATTGTGCTCCCTATTGTGTTGGGATTGTGTCCTCAGATGAATAATTCTGCCGATCTTTCACCAGGGACCACCAGACCTTGGGTCCAACCCTTCCAGATACAAGCTTTCTTAGAGTTTCGGATTCCCATCTGGATATAACCACTTTTGAACTTTTATGATAATATGACAAGTTTGTCTATGAATGTTTCTGTTATGAGCCGAGCGAGGTCTTTTAAATCTACTCCAGGCCTTGTTTTTGGCCTCAACTGCA